AAAAAAAAAAAAAAAAAAAAAAGAAAATTAAGCTCAAGGAGTTTTTATATGACATATGAGTGCTAGTCACAAACCACTGGGAAAACTAGAGAAAGTTACAAAGTTTTACCTTGAGGCTGCTTTAAAGGAAAGGACTAAATCTTTCATGCATTCTGACCTAGAAATTTATAGTAGAACCTATCAGAATAAAACAATTTAATTCATGGTTTAAAACTAGTAGAGGTTGATTATCTGAAATGCTTGCTACCAGAAGTGTTACAGAATTTGTAAGATTTTGATGATTTGGATATACATAATGAGATATCCTGGGGATGGGATCTAACTCTAAACACAGAATTCGTGTATATTTTTTATAAACCTCATACACATAGCCCAAAAGTATTTTTATACATGTTTTTAGTGTGCCTGTGTTTTGTGGGTTTTTTTGTCTTTTTGAGACAGGGTCTCGCTATGCAGTTCAGGCTGGCCTTGAGCTCACTTTGTAGCCCAGGCTGGCCTCAAACTTGCAACAATCCTCCTGCCTCAGCCTCCCGAGTGCTGGGATTACAGGTGTGTGCCACCTGCCCGGCAGGTGCCTGTGTTTTGAATCTACGTGAGGTCAAGTGTTGAATTTTCTACTTGAGGCTTCAGGTCAGTGCTCAAATAATTTTAGATTTGGAAGCATTTGAGATTTCTAGTTTTTATATTAGGTTGTTCCACTAGTAAAACGTCTAATTAAGTTAGTAATTGAAACTTTCAGAGCAAGTACAGCAGCACACACCTGTAATCCCAGGTATGGGAGGCCAAGGCAAGAGGATCACAAGTTTGAAAACAGCCTGGGCAACTTAATGAGACCCTGTCTCAAAATAAAAAAGGGCTGGGGCAGTAGCTCAGTGGTAAAGCAACTGCCAAGTATGTGGAATGCCCTGTGTTCATTACCACACACACACACACACACACACACACACACACACACACAAATCATTAAACACTTATAAACAGACTAAATACAATTCTTGAAATTCTGGTTTTGTGGGAGAAGTACAAAAAAGAGAGCTGAAAGGTAAAGGCTGCTTTGGGTGGGTCCTTTATGTTAGCTTGTACATTTGGCTTTAAAAACACAGTTAATATTTTACTTAACAACCAAGAAATTTGTATTTGTATAATTTGTTTAAATATAAGAGCTGTAGTAGGTTCACTGAAGATGAAAGAATAACTGGTGATGATGTACAGTTTAACAGATATTCTATTTTATTAAGATTAATCTAGAAAAACATTTTAAATAAATCAAACTGAATTAAAAGTTTGATCATGTTTGAAATGCTGGCATAATTCAGAGTAACGGATTATAAAATTGTTTATTTTTCAGGAAAGGTCCTCAAAGATTCAGTGTGCTTGGTTGCTGGTATTCTTAGCAGGATCTTCTGTACTTTTATACTATACGTTTCATTCTCAGTCACTTTATTACAGGTAAATTACAGTTCCAAGTACACATTTTTTATGTAATCGTATTCCATAGCACTTTGCATATATTTTATAGCATATAATACGTACTGTATTATAGTTCAGTGTTCACCTGTCTCTTCATGACTGAGAGCTGTAAGAGACTCAGACTTGCATCAGTGCCTCTGCACACACCAAGTGCTCAATAAATAATGATTTGATTACTGAGATTTTGTTTAATCATTGTTTAAGTACCAGTAAGGGATTATTTTTAGTCTTTTTGTTTCTAGACATAAGAAGGCTCATTAAAAGAGTAGGTGGTAAATTTCGGGGTCAGGAGTGGTTCTATCCTGAATTTTCAGTTTTAATCAGGTAATAAATCCTTATTTCAGAGGACTTGGGGATACAAATCTAGGATAGAATTTACAGGCAGAGCCAGTAGACTCAGGTTGGATTGGGTAGATGGGTAAGAAAAGCAAGAATGATCTCTGAATCTGGGCTTGGTGGCATACACCTGTAATCCCAGTACTCCGGAAGGCTAAGGCAGGAGGATTGCAAGTTTGAGCTCAACCTTGGCAACGTAGTGAGACCCTGTCTCAAAACAATGAAAGAAAAAAAAAAAAAAAGGCTGGATGTAGCTCTGTGAAGACCCTGGGTTTAATTCCCAGTACCAAAACAAAACAAAAACACCCAACTTTTGAGTATACACTCCAACCAACTAATATTTTATTGGGTTGGGGGAGGAACTGGCTTTGAAATCAGTTTTGTTTTGAGTAGGTTCAGTATTGAGGCCAAGGAGAATTCTTAAAAAAGTGGTCCTAGGTGTCATGAGCCCAGGGTAGGCATTAGGGCTATAAACTGATAGATGGTTGATACTTAAAAGCCACAGGACTAGACAGACTGACTAACTAGGGAAAGTAGAGGAGGATTCAGTCCTAGATATGACCACAGTTACAGGAGGAACAGCAGAGGCAACAAAAAAGAAAGCAGTGACATGAGGACAGCTACGAGGGAATGATGTTAAAAATCTAGAAAGTGATTTGGGGGTGTAGTTCAGCGTTAGAGCGCCTGCCTGCCCGCCCAGCAGGTGCTAGGTCCTAGGTTTGATCCCTAGCACTACCAAAAGAAAAAAAAAACAGTCTGTAGTAATTCAGGATGGTAGAAAAAGAGAAGTGACCTTCACATTTAGCAGTACACAGGAGTGTAGTGATTGTGACAAAATTCAGTGGAAAGAAGGGATGGAATTCTGACGGGAGTTGGTTAAGCAGAGAATGGCAGATGTCTAGTACAGTACTAGGTTTTTAGTTTACAGGTCAGGAAGGTGTTAACCATGATAAAGTAGGAAGACTTCTGCTACCCCACCTCCTCATACTTAGGATGACTAAATTCTGGGCCTTGTGCATGCCAGGCAAGCAGCTCCAATGCTAGGTACATCCCGAGCTCCTGGACTTCTTTTTCTTTACTCTATGAAAGGAAGAATTTGAAATGCAGATGTTTAAAAAGTCCTGTTAAGTGTTAGAGCATTTCATCTGGCATGCATGAGTTGGATCTCTAGCAGGGCACAGGAAAGAAGCCCCTTTAAGAGGAGCAAAATGATGCTGTTTATCAGAACTTTGCCATTATTTTGCCAAATTCATATATTTTACATATGAAAGTAAAATATTTGTAGCAAATTTAAAATCCTTATTGATACTTTACCTTTGTAAATTGCTCTGGTAAATTTTGATGTTTTTATCTTGATAGCTTAATTTTCTTGAATCCTACATTGGATCATTTGAGCTTCTGGGAAGTACTTTGGATTGTTGGAATTACAGACTTCATTCTGAAATTCCTCTTCATGGGCTTAAAATGCCTTATTTTATTGGTGCCTTCTTTCATCATGCCTTTTAAATCAAAGGTAAGAAACTAATTTAATGCTATATTGGGAAGATGTTAACAAACCACATTAGTGCTACTTAATCTTTGTTTCAATGCATTTTGTATAGTTTTTCAGTCTGCTAAATAACATAATTTTAATTTTTTTTTTTTTTTTTTGGTACTGGGAATCCAACTGAGGACCTTGTGCTTGCCAGGCAGGTGTTGTGCCGCTGATCTGTATCCCTGGTGCTTTAATTACTTTCATATCCAGCCTGGCAACAATTTGCTTAATGACTTAAACTAAAATATTGTGTTATTTGGATAAAATCAGAATTATATTTGCTTCAGAATGATAAAAAAAAAAATCAGTCCCCATATAGTGAGAAAATACTAGATTCATACTTTTCCAGGGCATTAGCAGTTGATAGTGGCTTCTCTGATACTTAGTAAAAACTTTAAATTTTCATAATCAGCAAAAACGTTTAATTTTCACTGTTATTCTGTAGAAATAACTTGAAACCATACAGTGACTGTAATATGTGAGAACTAGGATGAAACTGTCAGTCCTAATTGTTACCTGTATTACTGTAGCATATACTCTTGATGTTCTCAGTCTAATATTATTTGTGTTATGCACTTAAGTAGCTTGGGTAGCTCTATTTGTTTTCTTTTTCCTTTCTTTTTAGGGTTACTGGTATATGCTTTTAGAAGAATTATGTCAGTATTACCGAACTTTTGTTCCCATACCAGTTTGGTTTCGTTACCTTATAAGCTACGGGGAATTCGGTAATGTAACTAGGTGGAGTCTTGGGATATTGCTGGCTTTACTCTACCTCATACTAAAAGTAAGTGACATTATAAATCTTGTCGTTGTGTAATGATCATGTAATGATTATTGATTTTACATACAACTACTACTACTGCTTCTCCTAACAGTCTCCCTATCCCTTTTTGTTGTCCTGGGGATTGAACTTAGGGCCTTGAAGATGCTACGGAAGTGCTCTATCATGCACAGCCCTTTTTATTTTGAGGCAAGTTCTCACTAAATTGCCCAAGCCAACCTTAAATTTGTAATCCTGCCTCAGCCTCCCGTGTAGCTGGATTACAGGTATGCACCACCATGCCTGGCTCCTTAACTGATCTAAAGTTTATTTTCAGTTTGAAATAATAGCATGTTCTACATCTATTTTAGTATGGAGACCTGGGTATGGCGACATGTGCCTATAATCTGAGCTATTTCATAGGCTGAGGTAAGAGGATTGTGAGCTCAAGGCCATCTTAGTCAACAAAGCAAGACACTGTCTTCAGAGAGATCCGGGTGTGGCACATGCCTGCAATCCCAGCACTCTGGGGGCTGAGGTAGGAGGATCACACATTTGGCCACAGCCTGAGCAACTTAGTAAGACTCTATCAAAATCAAAAAGGAAGGGGCTGGGGATATAGCTCAGTGGCATAAGCACCTGCTTGGCAAGTGCAAGGTCGTGAATTCAATCCCCGGTACCGCAAAAAAACAAAAAACAAAAAAATACGTTCTTTCAAACTGAACTATTCATTAAGTTCATTTAGTTCATTTCATCTCATTTGCTGGGCGTGGTGGCGCATGCCTGTAATCCCAGCACTCGGGAAGCTGAGGCAGGAGGATTGTTGCGAGTTCAAGACCAGCCTGGGCTACAAAGTGAGCTCAAGGCCAGCCTGAACTGCATAAGGAGACCCTGTCTCAAAAAAGACCAAAAAAAAAAATAAATAAATCAAAAAGGGCTGAGGATATAGCTTTGTGCAGTAGCCCTGAGTTCAGTTCTCAATATCCAGCCCCCAGAATACAGATGTTGTGGTTCTCAGTTTTTATTGGGAATATCCACATAGTATGGATTATCTAAGGGGGACGGAATAATTAAGTGAAATAGAACATAACCATCCTCCCATCCTCTACTGTAATATTTGTCATACACATGATTCTCAAGCAAGTGAATTAGATAAAGTTGCTTTGTCTTTGAATGGGTTTGTCTTGATCAAATTGTTAATGCTAGGTTAAACTGGTTATGAGTTGGCTCAAATCTGGAAATTCAATATTCCATAACTAGACTTGAAATATATTTAGAATAAAATGATTAGGTATGATATGCAATAAGCATTAAGGTAATATGAGAATCTCACGTTATAAAACTTCATCTTTGATCTTTGGGTTTAGCAGATAGGGTTCTTAGGACTAATTATCTGTTATTTCCTCTTTCAGCTTTTGGACTTTTTTGGACATTTGAGAACTTTCAGACAGGTTTTACGTATATTTTTTACACGACCAGTAAGTATTTATCAGTTGAAGAAAAAAATACTTTTTACCTTTCTGTATAATAAAACTTTCTAGTTTAGCAGTTTTAGACATATGGATTCCATGAGATGAACTTTTTGAGATTATTTTCTGTTACTTTGGCCCTTGTGGCTACACTGATTTAGGAGTTTTAGTTGTGTGATCAGTTTTTTAAACTGCACATTAATCCTACCCACTAATTAGTGCTTTATGTGTCTTTTTTGTTTGTTTGTTTTTGAGACAGGGTCTCGCTATGCAGTTCAGGCTGGCCTTGAACTCACTTTGTAGCCCAGGCTGGTCTCAAACTTGGAACTATCCTCCTCTCAGCCTCTTTTGAGTGCAAGGATTACAGGTGTGCGCCACCATGCCCGGCTTACAGTGCTTTATGTATTAGAATGTTTTTATCATTTGACATTTTAAAGGATTTCTCACAAGCACTTTATTTTTTCATGAACTTTTATTCCTTTTCCTTTTTTAATCCACAAAAAAATGGTAGGTTTGTGTATTTTCATTAACTCTAACTTCTAAGAAAATGCTTCTACTGTAATTTTTTGTGTTTTTGAGGAAAGCTCATCACCAAAAAGCATGTCCCTTGCAGCTTTCTTACTTGAAGAAATTTCCCCATTACTCAATTCTGTATGCACAAATCAGTCCACGGCATGGATTTTAATAATTGAAACCCCAGTATTGATTATAAACTTCATTATTATGTGATTCTGTTAATGTTGCTTACACATTGCAAAAAAAGGATATCATAGAAAAGGCTGATTTACTCTTTAGTAGCCTCAAAGGTTCCCACTATCTAGAAGTGATCACAGATTTCAGTGCTTAAACTTCAGCTTTGCAATCCATTAAGTCCCTAAACAATTCTTTGCTTCAGGCTTCAGGGGACTTACAAGAATGCCGACCTAATAAGGCACTGTTAAAAAAGGAGTATCTACAAGTGCTCCAGACTGACCAGCCAGGGCACTTTTGTTTGTCTCTGTCGAATCTGCCTCTCTCCCTCCCTTTACTGTAGTAGTAGGGATTGAATCTAGAGCCTTCACACTGAGCTTCATCACATGCCCTTTTTTAACATTCTTTTATTTTGAGGTAGGGTCTTGCTAAGTTGCTAAATTATCCAGGCTTGGCTCAAACTTTATGATCCTCCTGCCTCGGCCTCCTAGAGTGCTAGGATTACAGGCATGCATGACCATATCTGACTCAGGACACCTGTTCTTTAAGAAACAAGTTTTGCTAAACCTTAATACATATTCTTTGTTTGGAGAGGATACAATAAAATCTAAGGCATTTAGCCTTACAGTATTAATTCAGTAGATCATCATATAACCATCACACATTTTACTATAATTTATCTATTAATATTTATGCTGTAATACCCTGAAGAAAATACTCTGTGGGCTGGGCTCAATGGTAGATTACGCAACACCATGAAAAAAAAAAAAAAAAGAAAAACTCGCAGCAACAAAGTACTCAGGCTGGGCACACAGCTCAGCAGCACAGTGCTGAGGTCCTGACTTTGGTTCCCAGTGCCAAAAAAAAAACCCAAAACACCAAAGTACTGTGTAGGTGTCGGTCATTGACACTTTCATTCTCTAGTCTTACTGAGGTATCCCAAACATATATTCATGTTCTTTAACTTCACCAGGGGAATGGCTGTCACCAAGGTGAGTCTTCATCTGAAGGGTGAAATGCCAGACAAGTGACGCCTTAAAAGCTGTCAGCATAGGTATCCGCAGTGGACTCTGCTAAATGATACTTTCCTGAAGAGAAGCAGCACCAACATCGTCTAACAAAATCCTGACCTAATTCTGAAACTTTTGGTTTTTTTGCTCCTCGTAATCAAACTCAGGACCTTGTGCTTGCCAGGCAGGTGCTGTGCCTCCAAGCTACATCCTCGGTCCTAATTCTAAAACTTGTATCTCCAAAAAAATTAATTTTTAATATTGGGTGTGTGTGTTGAGATAGCATCTGGCTTTGAACTCTCAGTAATCATCTGCCTCAGCCTCTCTCAAGCACTGGGATTACAGGTGCATGCCACCATACCTGGCTCATTTTTAATATTTTTATCCCTTGAGGTTTTGTTATCCCTACACATTTAGTACAAGAATCTTAGATCATAGCTTCATATATGTTACGGTAAGTCATATTTTACCTGTTCCCATGACTGTCTTTTCTCCATCATTTATACAGAAACTTGATCTCAATTGTAACATTTTGATTCTTCCAAATTTCCCTGAATGTTTTTAACTGTCACATCTAGACTAAGTCTTGCTGAATTTGGTGAGAAAAGATCAGAAACTCTTTCGTACATCAGAATAAAGTAAAACTCACAAAACTGCATTATTAGTGGGGTGTGGTGGCACATGCATGTAGTCCCAGCACTTGGGAGACTGAGGCAGGAGGATCTCCGTGAGTTCTAGGCTAGCCTGGGCTACATAGTCAACTCAAGGACAGCCTGAGCTGCATAGCGCAACCCTGTCTCAAAAAAACAAAAAAAAATCTTTTAGATTGCATTCTTGTTTATTTAACTTCAACAGCAGTTACCCTACTTCAGTGACAGAGTTAGTTTCTTTGTAAATGTTGCTTTATTAGTCTTTCATTGTATGAAATGTTTTTGTTTTTGTTACAACCAGAGGTAATTAAAATTTTTTTTGCTTAGTATCAGACTGTTCACTGGTTCTGAAACCTCCATACCAAATTCACCTTGGAGACCTTTCAGAAACTAGATTCCTAGGCCGGGTGTGGTGGTTGGTGCACACCTGTAACCTCAGCGCTTCTGAGGCTGAGGCAGAAGGATTGCTGCAAGTTCAAGGCCAGCCTGAACCACATAGTAAAACCCTGTCTCAGAAAGACAGGGGAAAAAAAGGATGGCTGGATCCCTGAGTCATACCCTAAAATGTCTGAGCCTACCGAATGAATGTCCAGCGTGGAACACAGACGTGTTTCTTTTTGTTGTTATACCCTGTGCTTGGGATTGAACCTAGAGGCGTCACACGTTAGGCACGAGTTCTACCATCTAAAGTAAGCTTTGCACATGACTACCATTTAACTAGTCATACTCTGGACTGACTTTATAAATTACTGGCACAGGTAATAAGTGGGCTTAGTTTGGCAATCTTGGATAATAGCATACATGGATATGGGTTTTATAATACTTACATTTCACATTGCTTAGTCTTTTAAGCCATATGTGTTGCATTTGAGGTGCTGCTATCATTTGGGAGTAAGTCCTCCAGTGGAAGTAAGTCCTCCACAGTCCTATTATGTAGTATTTAATGATTTTTGCCTTGAGGTAGTCAAAGTGTGGGTCTGCATATGTGGTTCCTCTATAAAGTTTGCATCCTAAGAGAAAGTTTTGAAATGTTGGGTTCCAGGGAGATTTGAGAAGTATAAAGTGTGTATCTGAGAAACAGGAAAGAAATTTATAGAATGAACGTAACATGTTCACAGAGTTATGGAGTAGCTGCCAGCAAGAGACAGTGTTCAGATGTGGATGATATTTGTTCAATATGTCAAGCTGAATTTCAGAAGCCAATTCTTCTCATCTGCCAGGTAATTATATTTTTAAGCAAATGGAATGCAGTACTTTACTGTGATTTAAGTCACAATTATGTTTGCTGTACGGCAAAAAAGTTACAATTAGGTGTTTGGTTGATTGACTAAATCCTGTCCCTTATATTCTGAGATTTTTATGCGGAAGAGTATTTTTCAATTAATTTTATTGGTACATTTTAGATATATATAGTGATCATATTCATCATAGCAGAGGAGTATGTTAAGGGAAAAATAATACAGCTGGCAGATAGGGTACCAACGTGGCTGGAAAACATGCTTTTTAAAATAATTGGATGAGTGGCTGGGGATTTAGCTCAGCAGCACAGTGCATGCCTGGCAAGTACGAGGTTGTGAGTTCGATTCCCGGTATGGGGGGGGCGGGACTAAAAATAATTGGATGCTAGTATTATAGGACAGTTCACATACCTGGTTCTGGAATATGTAAGGCTCTTTATGGCTGTTACTGCCTCAAAACCTTTATTAAAAATGGGTAAACAGATAGTAAAGTCAAAAAAATACTAGTGTCTCTATGACTAAAACCAGTCTTACTGGGCATGGTGGCACACACCTGTAATCCCAGTGCTTGGGAGGTCAAGGATCGTTGCAAGTTCAAGACCAGCCTGGGCTACAAAGTAACCTTAAGGTCAGCCTGAACTACATAGCAAGACCCTGTCTCAGAAAGACAAAAAAAAACCAAAAACAAACAAAACCACGTCTTTTTGAAAATTTTATTACTACTTTTTCATAGAACTTTTTCAAGGATTGGACCCAGGACCTTGGGCATGCTAGGCAAGCACTCTGTCAATGACCTACAACCTCAGCCCCCCTTTTTCAATGGATCATACTTCTCCATTTTCTCATTTGAAAAATGTAATGATTAGTGCTCTTCCAAATTCTTTTCAGCTCTAAAGAATATAATTCTGTATAATATGAATGTAAAATGTTTATCAAGCATAAAATCTAATTCTTAATTCTCTTACAGCACATATTTTGTGAAGAGTGCATTACCTTGTGGTTTAACAGAGAGAAAACATGTCCTCTGTGCAGAACTGTGATTTCAGACCGTGTAAACAAATGGAAAGATGGAGCCACTTCATTACACCTTCAAATATATTAAATGGTATAAATTATTAGGGCCACAAAACACTAATGTGGTTAGTGACTGTTGGTAAAGGTATTAGAATACATTTTCAGGGCTCGACAGAGGCTTCCAAGTCATTCTAGACTTTTACAAGTCTTACGTGTATAGTTCAGTTTATCAAAAGAGTAAATGAAAGAACCCTAGAAGTATATAATATTCAGCCTAATGATATGCAATTTATTACATCCTTATTTGACATGTAATTGCAGTGTTAAATTGTAAATGTGTTTTCTTATTACCAGAATGGCAATTAGAAACTAGTACTTTGAAAGGAATTCAGGTATTCTTTCCTGACACTGTTTTCAGAAAAAGAGTATTTTTCACCATATTTTAAGATATATAATCCAAAAGAATTTTCAACATTGACTTTTATAATTCCCACTCTAAAAAGTACTTAAAATTTTCATAAAATTTGTATTTTTGAATGAAAGTTCTAAATACTATATTTTACTTGTAGTAATCACTTTCTAAATGAAGATTGGTTTACTGAGGATGATATATTTTAATATTGCATTCTCTATAGTATGATTAGTAATCAGTGAGAATAAATGATTTAATTCATTTGTTTGAGCCTTATACCTGCTTCCTGCCATCAGCATTAACATTCAGTCTTGCTTTTTTGTACAGCACCGTGGAGTATCTTGAATGTTAAACTAATTCATGTGGGGGCTGGGATATAGATTAATGGTAGAGCGCTTGCCTGCTATGTATGAGGTCCTGTGTTTAATCCCTACCACCAGCTTACAAGATCAACTCCATAAAACCTTTTAAAAGAATGCCTTTATAACTAACCTTTTCTAGAAGACTTTGAAATCTTAGGCTTGAGTCACCATGAATTGGGATATTAAAATGTGCAGGTCAGGGCTGAGGGTGTGGCTCAGTACCAGTGTTTGCCTAGCATGTGGTGGCCCTGGATTTTCATCCTCAGCGCGAAGTGGGGGAAAAGCTTGCACTCAGAGAATCATAAGCTTTTGGGATAATGTGGTTTGTTTGCCTGTAGGTAATTTGTACAGACTGGTGCAGAGAGGAATGAGGCATTTTCTCTTTCTCCTTGATCTAAAGAAGATTCTCAAATCTAGAATGCAAGGTTTTTTTTTGGTTTTTTTTTTTTTTTTTTTTTTTGGATACAGGGTCTCACTGTGTAGTTAAGGCTGGCCTCAAACTCCTGGTGATCCTCCTGCCTCAGCCACCTGAGGGCTGGGATTATAGGCATGCACCATCATGCCCAGCTAGAATAGAAGTCCAAAGGTCTGCTACTGGTCATTTCTAACTTGAGAGTACAGTGGTTCTGCCAATTTCTTTATTACCGTATTACCATGTATCAATTTGTGTGCGAGTAAAAGATAGTATAAAGGAGAAGTTAGAAGGAAGGGGCAGAAGACACATTTGCAATATTCAGAAGACTAAGGCTAAGCCAGCACATGAGTTAATAAGAAAGTGACCACCTGGGTACAGGTGAAGTCACTTCCATGCCTGTATAGCTACCCAAATTGACAAAGGAACCGTGGGAAGTCTGTAGCTCTTTCGCCAGGTAAATACTACCAGGTTGTAAGTACTATTTCTATTCATCCATCACAATAGAGTTTACTCTGTTGCCTACTTTGAGAATCACTGCAAATATTTAAACAAGTTTACTTGGTCTTAAATCACTTTCCTGGTTTGGTGAAACTTACTTGTATTATTTAGATATGTAGCAAGTTAGGCATGGTGGCACAGCCTGTAATCCCAGCACTCGGGAGGCTGAGGTAGGAAGACAGTTGAGAGTTCGAGGCCAGCCTGGGCTACAAAGTGAGCTCAAGGCCAGCCTGAACTGAGACCCTGTCTCAAAAAAACAAAAAACCAAAAAAAGGTATGTAGCAGAAGATAGGTGAGAAAAGCAATTTGGGATTAAAATTTAGCTGTGAAAGATAGCTGAAATGGTTTCTTGCTCTGAATGCAAGAGTAGCATTCAGCCCTATTACAATACCTGCTTCCCGCACCTACTTCTCTTAATGGATATTCAGACAGCTTTGTTTCTCAGTATGACTAAATGACAGTAGGTGGTGGATGATGGGGATTTTGGGCAAGCAAAGAATTGAAAATGGGGAAACATATAATAGAGCTATGCCATCCATTCACAGTGGTGATGAACTAGAAGCATTTCTGTACTTCTGTTTTCTAGTCCTTCACCTCAGACAGAAGGGAATATAGTTCTTAAACCCAATTCTGTGAATTCAGATCATGTCCTCGAAAATATTATTGTATCAGCATTAACAGATGCTACCATGTATTATGGAAGAGTAATGTAAGTAAGCGAGAGAGATTGTCTTTGCCAAATGTGATATAGGTAAGTGGTTTATACAAAATGCCCATCTTACAGTAGACAAGAGACAACAGTTAAAGGAGGTTTTTGCACTATTACTTTATGCATATATTTCAAATGTAGTTGAGAAGTGTGGCTCAGTAAGTTGACTTAGTGAAAGGAAGTATTCCTAGTGTCTTTATGAGACACTAACTTCAATACAGGGTGTCATATGAACTTCTTTAAAAAGCAAACAGTTGAAATCTATTTGACATAACTTGAAGATCAAAGATATATAACATCTGATATATAAAATCAGTACCAAAACTTGTTATATACCTAAGTAGCTTCATTTTCTCAGCAGAAATTTTTACAAATGTCATTCCTTACAAACATAGTTTATTAAATCTGAGAACTTGAACACATCAGACATGTTAATAATATTGTACACCTGATATACACTGTTTTTTCTTCCTCCCTTAAGATAATAAAAAAATCACTTCTATTTCTGTTCATTCAAATTTGCATTTAATTTCTATTTACATTCATTCGATCTGAAATCAAATATTTCAATACAGTAAACTAAATACAAGATGAAAAGCAGAAAAAATGTTACCCTCATAGCACTCCTAATAAGGCAGCTGAAGAATTTATTTAATAGATGCAAAGCCAACTTGGGATAGTAAAAACACAATAGTTTAAAGAGCAAACACAAACAGAGATGAACCCATCTTTGAGATGTTACTCCAAATAATCCACTGAGATAAAATACTTGTGCTGTAGTGCTAAGAATCACACAAGAAAAATACTGTATTAATCAGCAATAGACCACTCGTGTGAGAAATACTTTTCTATGTTAAGATCTGTCCAGCTTGCTAGTGTCTACTCCTACGAAAAAGGCAGATGTTTGGACAATGATTTTTTTTTTTTATTTCAGAGATGAACCATTTTCAAAGCCTCAAAATCCATTTTTCATAAATTCAACATTTCTCTTGGGAATAATGTTAGATCTAGCCCTTGTAAGCTAGGAATCGTATGACTAACAGAATATTCAAAAAATGTAGGTCCTATATTAAATATGAAATCCAATGCTCAGAATGTTAGGACTAAGATGCATCTTGTTTATAATCACATTATCGGAAAAAATGTTGAATTTATGGCATTTCATACATGCATCTTCCCCCTACCTCACATTATCTTCTACCTCAAAAAAAGGCATGGAAAACTCTTTGAAGGATTCAAATTAGTTAAGACCATAAAAGAGAAAAGGAAGTAACAATTTTCCTAAAAACCCAGTTCAAGTTCAATAATTAATACTTTACATTGTTAATCACAGCTGGTTTATAAATCCCAGTTTAGTTATTCGGTAATGCTACAAACCTTTATAAAAGCAAATTAGTAAACTTCAGTTCAGTGATTACATTTTAATTAAAAAACAGCATGTATAAAATAAAAAAATATCCTGTAATAGCTGATTTTTAAAGAAAATAAGTGATGAAAGAAAAGCACTTAATCTTTTTTATACACTTACCTGGTATAATCATAAAGAACCTTCTTAGAAACTCAAGACTAGTAATATTGACATCTATTTTAAACTATGCTTGGATTTTTACAAATAAATAGAGGGTAAGCCATATTGCATAGGTATGTGCTTTCTGTCTGTGACACTAAAGTGACACTTGACATTTTCACAGTCATAGTAGGGATACTGTCATTTATGAAACAATTTCTCAATAAACCTGCCACAGCATGGGAAATTAATTTCACTTGATAAATGTTAACTTAGAAAAACTAAGTATTTGTGTGGGTGGTGGGTGTGCAATTAGTGCTTTTACGCAGAAAAAGTTGCAATGTTTGCCACTATTACTGGCAGTACTGATGAAGACAGTCTAACTAGGGGGTGGTAATAGCCGTCACAGTGCACGTGTTACTAGTGAATAGGACTGAGGAGGATTATTTTGGTGTAAAAGTTTCACTGGAATTTGGTCAGGCAGTCACCACTACAGTTAGTAAACACATTTGAAAACAAGTATCAGAGTAGAACAAGCCATTTACAGTCTGAAATAAAGCCTATATATAACTATAGCTTTTGGGTTTTTTTTCCAGACATCACAAATTGTCAGAAAACAAAGATCTGCATGTTAAGTACAGTTTCTGCCCTTAATCATGATTTAGCTTCTAATTTACTAGCTATAATTATAAAAGTCTCAGTAGGCTGCTGCAGTAAAAGAAAGGGTCCAGAAGCAGTGATTTTTTTTTTTTTAAAAAAGGTTTTCTGTCCAAACACAAACTTTTTATCAATTCTTTCATTTGTTTTTCTTTTTTAATTATTCATTTATTGCCACAATTGAAATGGTATATTTTCAGTCATATTTCATGGTTCTGGTTTTGCTTCTGCTATATGATTTCATTCTGTTTCACTTAAATTACAATTTAAATAAGCAAACTCTTGCTTTTTCTGACTGAATTCAACATGCATAAAGGATTTTATGGCTTGGATCCTATGGCTCAAAAAGGTTTGGAGAACATAGCAAGCAGCATCTATTTAAAAAAAAAATTAGGGTTGCAAACTATTACAAATTGACTGACATTCAGATTGAATACATTATGAAAGACAGAAAAGAAGTTATAAGAGTCAACTGTAACTGCATGATCTACTTATACCAGTATGCACTGAAATATATTTTTTATAAAGCTCTGCAGATTTTAAACCCTTTCATCAGCTAAAGTCATGGAAATGCTCTCTTTAAGGCAGGAAGTATTTAAGAAAGATAAAGTTACCTTTACTTTATTCTTTGTACCTGTAAATCACTTGTGTAGATTTTGTTACAATTTCAAAAGCAGTGACCTGTTAACATGTTTCCTAAATGAAGCCACTAAGTTTTCTTACTTGCTGTGGAAGACACTCATTAAAAGGCCATCAAGTATTTTTACAATCAAAAAATGTAGCCCCAGTATAGGAGAAAGAAATTAGACCTTTTTTCCATCTTAAAATTGTTAAGGAAAAAATATTAAGGAAGGTAGACAGCAAAAACAGTACCAAGTAAAACTAAAAACCTTACCAATTTGCTGTAGAGATTACACAGAGAGGACCACAGCAGTACTCTCTTTCCATGGAAATCTCCATCTCCCCTACTTTGCTGCCCTCATCCATTTTATCCTGACTCTTCCATCCTTCTTCAGCCACGGGCTGAACACATCTGGTGTCTTGAACCAAATACTGGTATAAGAACAGGTGGCAATTTTTTCCAGTGCAATGCAGGCCCAGGACAAGGATGAAATGTAGGAC